AATCAATGACTTTGCAGAGTATTTTTTACCATGTTTTTAACAAAACGGAATATCCATGATGTTTGATTGGAAAAAGCTAAAAAAGAGACACTCACGCTAATGTGTCAACTTAGCCGTTAGCAGATTTGCTTTTGCTGGTTACGAGGCTCGCAATAAAGTTATGCGTGACATTATTAGGGTGATTACGGTAGAAAAAGCCAACTGCTGCGTCAAAATTCCAGGCTACTTTTTTCACCAGGAATGGTGCACAGGAGCTAGCTAATGCCTGATGGACTAAAATCAAGCTATTGTTCAAAAGTGCTGCGTTAACTTGTGCCTTATTATAAACGGAATAATTGGAGATATTCACATGGTGGCAATTTTGCTGGATAAATTGCTGAATCTGAGCTGATTGGCTTAAAACATTATTCTTAACTAGCCAAATTCGCTGGTTATTTAAATCAGTAATCTTCAATTGCTTCTTTTGGGCGAGAATGTTGGTTGGCGGAACGGCTACCATCAAAGGAGTAGTCGTAATTTCTTTAAATAAAAACCCTTGCTTAGGAAGAGGTTCTTCTGAGTAAATACCCTCAATCAGATCAATATTAGGTGGAATTTGCTCGTAGTCCTTAATTTCCTGGAACTTAAGCTTGACCTGCTTATTTTGCGCAAACTTTGTCCAATAATGATCAAACAAATTAGTGGTACTTAAATAACCGGTTCCGACAGTCAGCGTGTTTTGGTAGTTTTGCAGTATTTGTTTGGTGGCTAAACATAGCTGCTTGATTTTATGAGCTTGGACTAAAAATAGCTTGCCGGCTTCCGTCAGAGTAACACCATGTGAATCTCGCACAAATAACTTGCAGCTTAGTTTGGTTTCTAACAGATTAATTTGCTGGGTAACTGCCGGTTTGGAGATGTACATTGCCCTAGCAGCAGCGGAAAAACTCCCCAGTTTAGCAACAACGATAAAAGTATCAATTTCATGGTCATACATTTTTACACCTCATCCTTAAGTTAAGCCTAGACTTAACTCTGCGTAAGCATAATCAAGAAAGCGCTTTTAACTAAAAATAATATAATTACGGTAGATAGTAAAGGAGTAAAAAATTATGGCTAAATTTGAAATTGTAGTTGTTGGCGCCGGTGCATCAGGAATTAGTGCTGCTTTAGCGGCAGCTCAGGCTGGTGCTAAAGTTGCCTTGCTTGAAAAAGGCGATAAATTTGGTGGCGCCGGAATGTTTGGTGCGCAGGGATTATTTGCGGTTGAAAGTAAAGCACAAAAAGCAACGGGACAAAAATATACTTTAGAAGA